CTTCAGGGCCTTTGCACCTTCTTTTCTCTGTCTGGAACCCTCACTTCATTTAGGTCTCTGCTCAAATGCCATCCTAACAGAGAGGCCTTCCCCGACTACCCTGTCTAAATAATACCACCTCCTTCCTCCATCACTCTCTATCTCATCTGCTGCTTTTTTTTTTTTTATAGCATTTGACTTATTGTATATTCATTGTTATTATATACATTCATCTCTGTCTGTTTTACCCCACTAGAATGTAAGCTCTATGAGAGCAAAGAGTTTGCCTATTTGCTCACTCCTATATTTCCAGGGTGTAGAACAGATTGAACACTGTCTGGCCCATAATAGGTGCTCAAGATATTAGCAGAATGAATGAATGAATGAAGAGAGTCAGTGGGGCTTATTATTAAGTTATTGGAGAAAATGATCGATCTGGGAAGAGTATGGATTAAGGTATATTGGGGAACCTCAAGTTCTTTTAGGTTCATATTTCTACATGGAGGGACTTTAGTTGAACATTGCAGGCCTCTTCTGTGACCTCACTCATCTTTCTTCAGGGAAGGAGTGATTTATCTGGTAAATTGAGGAAAGAGCACTGAGTGTGTCTCATTCAGCGGCACCACCTCCTCCTCCTCTCCTTTTTGTTGGATCTCGCTACCTGCCAGAGGCTACATTCCAGTCTGCTCATATACATGAGCAGATTAAAAGTTCAAACACAGACATGTTCCAAAAGAGATGGAAACCCAGAAGAGGGGCATCTAACCTAGCCCAGGGCCATCAAAAGAGGCTGCCTGGAGGAGTTGCCTTCTGAGCTGAGTCTTCAAGAATCAAGAGATGTTACCAATAGAAGAGTGAGGTGGTATGGATTCTATCCTTTCTATTTATAACCTCCAATGACATTTCCCCTTGGCCTTAGTCTTTCCACATAGATGAGTCATTATTAATAATATTTATTTAAGGGTGTGCTATTTGGCAGGCACTGTGCTGAGGATGTAAAGATGACCCAGTAAGATACAGGGAAGGCATATAAAGAAATAAATGCAGTAAAATGCTACTGGTACTATGATATAAGTCTATACAGGGGCACAAAGAGAGTAGTAGCCAATAGGGGAAGATTACGAAAGAAGTCGGTAAAGAAAGTTACTTAAAAGTAAATGGATATTAGTCATCCAGGAAGGATATTCCTGACAGAGAGGACATTAGGGGCAAAGGCAGTGAGAAGTAAAACCACTTGACTTGTGGAGGGAATCACCAATAGTTTGGCAAGGCTGATGCACAGGGTGGGAAAGGGTGGAAACGCTGGCAGTGGCCAGATTTTGCAAAGCCTTGCTTGTTATTTTAGAGTCTGGACTCAATCCTGAGGAGCTAATAATGAGATTTAAGGGGATGAATGATAAATTCATGTGTGCATTTTAAAAAGATTTTTCTAGTGGCTGCATGAGGCTAGATTGGAGGAGAAGAGGCTCTGTTTCAGTGAATCAGGTAGTGTGTCTGTAGGGCTAGAGAAAAGGGGCCATTGTTTGAGCAAGGTTTAGGAGGTGGAATGACCAGATCAGACCAGACTGGATAAAGAGGAGTGAGGCACCTAAGTGTTTTGGCTCGGGTGACAGGTGGACAGTAGCCTTGTTACTGAGATTAGAAGCCAGGAGGTGGAGCTGCTTGAGATGTTCTGTATAGTGGGCATGTTAGGATGTAATGAGGCGATGCGACCCTAGGGGAGACGTACAGGAAGCAGCTGACGCCACAGGTGTGGACTTGTGGTTGTCCGGAGAGCGCGTGTCAGAAAGCTTGGGATGCTTATTTAGAGGCTTCCAGTCCCGCCCTGACCACGGCCCCGTCTCCCGCCTGACCGGGGTGGTACCTGTAGTGCTCAAGAAACTGCCACCTCAGCAGCAGCAGGCCCAGGAGGGCGCTGAGGCCCAACACCAGTAGCAGAGCGGTCACCAAGGAGATCCAGGCTATGGGATAAAAAACAGTCAAACCTCCAAGGCTTCTTGCCGGAGCCCCGCCCCCAGGTCGAGCCAACCCCGCCCTGGCCCCGCCCCTTGCGGTTCCAGGGCGACCCGTGCGGTCGGAGCCCCGCCGGTGCTGCACTGGCGTCTTCCGCGCAGCTGCAGGCCGCTGGCAGCTTTGTCCTGCCCCCGCTGTTACCCATCTCGGAAGCGGTCTCCAGCCTCACTGGGTCTGACCAGGCGCTCCAGGGGCCTTGGTAGGTGGGGCCGTGGAGCCTGGCGCGCAGCTGTAAACGGTAGCGGGAGCGCGGGCGCAGCTCCAGAGTCTCTCCCTGCGCCCCGAGAGGCGGCTCCAGCACCTGCACAGAGAAGCAAGCGGGTGGTCAGGCTATGGGAACTGGTGGGTGGGCGGGCCTCCATAGACTGATGGCGTCTGTTGGACCAAAATCCTACCGTTTTGAATTCCAGGGGATCCCCCAAAGAGCTTCACTACAGAAAACACGAATCCCGGCGGAAACTTGGAAGAGAGAACACCCTACGGAGATAGAAACTTGGAAGATAGAACACCTTCCCCAGCCCAAGGCCTCGCCCTGCCCGAGGCATGCTCAGTTTTTTGAGAAATGCTTCCTGACACACACCCAGACGAAAAGACTTCATCTGCACAGAGAACTACTCATCCTGACACAAATACAGACGATACACCCGGATAGAGATCCCGGTGCATACACTGGCCAGGACACACAGGCATCCTGCCAGAAGCGCTCACCAGAACTCCAGACCCAGCGATGGAAACACTCAGACACAGGGCCAAATAGGCCATTTGCAAATGACACTCATTCAGCAGCACATGCCAGAATTGTGCTAGGTGCTGGGAGCACAAGGACAGATTCCAAGCAGAGGGAACAAGCATCGTGTGCACAAGCAGGGAGACTTCATTAACTTAATTTTTTAGCAGGCATTTATGAACTGCTTGTGATATGCCAAGCATTGAGCAAGGCACTGGGAAAAAGATAGGTGAAACATGGTCACTCACATGTCTAATGAGGAAGACATACAAACAAGTAAATAATTACATGTAATTAGTGCTATATGTAAGGCATCGGGAGCATGAAGAATCATTGAGTCGCTTGATTGGGGGCTACAGAGTAGTTCAGCGTGCTAAGAGCATGGCAGGGCAGGCTAGATGGTCACGGATGAGGCTAAGGCAGTGGTAGTAGTGATTTGAGGACTGTTGGTACAATAAACTATTTGTTGTTAAATAAGGGGTTGAGAGAAGGGAAAAGGAAGAGTCAAGGTGGATTTCAGGCTTGGCTAACTGGGTAAGTGGGAGTGCCATTGTCAGAGATGTAACAGAGAAGTGAGTTTGAGGAAGAAATACTGTTTGGTTCCATTTTGCTGAGTCCAACAACAGTAAAAACTTAATGGTAATGTTGGAATAGCAGTTACCTTGGCAGGGAGGTGTGCGACTGTAGGGGACATGAGTTTCTCAAGTGCTATAAATAACCTATATCTTGATCTGGATCATGGTTACATGAATGTATACACATGAACAATTTAATCAACTATATACTTAAGATTTGTGTACTTCACTGTAGATGAGTTAAGTTTTGGATTATAGTAGTCCCCCTTTATCTGCAGTTTCACTTTTCACAGCTGCAGTTACCTGCAGTCAACTACAGTCTGAAAATATTAAATGGAAAATTACAGAAATAAACAATTCATAAGTTTTAAATTGCGTGCCATTCTGAATAGCATGATGAAAGCTCACGCCATCTCGCTCCATCCTACCTAAGACATGAATCATGCCTTTGTCTTGCCTGTTAGTCACTTAGCTGCCTCGGTTATCAGATCAACTATCAAGTTATCACAGTGTTTGTATTTAAGTAACCTTTGTTTTACTTAATAATGGCCCCAAAGTACAAGAGTAATGATGCTGGCGATTTGAATATACCAAAGAGAATCTGTGAAGTATATGTGTGTACAGGAAAAAACTATATATAGGGTTCAATACTCTCCGTGGTTTCAGGCATCTACTGAGCGTCTTGGAATGTATCCCCACAGCTAAGAGGGAAATTCTGTATTGAGTCTAAAATGCCTCCGGAGACTTTTAGGTAGAGCTATCTGGTAAGAAGTTGTATATACTGTATATGTGGTAAATGAGAATAAAAATAGAGAAAGAAACTAAGATTTAACTAATGTATATGAGTACCTTCTATCTGCAAGGCAATATTTATATAATTTTCTACTGTAACTTCAAAAGGTAGATCGCTTTATGCCCATTTCACCAACAGGGACTTCAAAGGTTTAGGTAGTTTGCCTATGGTATAGAAGTTCCTTTCCATATGGTAAGTTTGGGATGGCTAATATATATGGCCATTAAAACTATGGAGTTGAAGTGCTCACCTAGGGAGAGCATACATATTTATCTAGAAGAAAGAGTCTAGGATGGGATTGTAGAAAACATAACATATTAAGGAAGAGTGGAAAAGGAACCAAGAAAGGACAGTGAGGTTTGGTCAGAGAGGTAGTATGAGAATCAGGAGAAACTGCTATCCCAAAAGCAAAAGGAAGAGAAAATTTTAAATGGAAGTAGTCAGCAGTGTCAGATGCCAATGGGAGATTAAGATGGCAGTTGAATCAGATAAACATAGGTATACAAGCCTAGACATGGATACATGGACACCTTCGTCCTTGATAACAGACGTAGTAAAATTCAGGGATACCCTGTGTGGTGAGATCTGTGGGCATTTGTTTGACTTTACCTTCCAGTCCTGATGTCCTTCTCCTGTGTATCGGAGCTGATAGCAGGTCTCTTGGGCTGCCCAGGATGATGGGTGCTGCCATTCCAATTCCAGCTGCCCACTGGAGACCTCCCTCCAATGCAAATTGGGAGTGGGGATGAGCACTACAGGGATGTCATCAGAGAGTGGTCTAAGTCCTTCTGAGACATCACTGTCACCAGGGCCATGGGTCAGAAGTGTCAGAGTTAGTGATTCTGGGCATGGGATCAGGTGCAGTAGTGGGGGGAGCTATGTGGGAGGAGAAGGGAAGAAAGTTCTTACCAGCCTGATGGATCCAGAAAGGGGACCCCAGGAAACTGTGAAAAGCACCCTGGGCTGTGGTCACCTCCACAAGGATATGAATCACACTGTCATTTCGTGACTTGAAATGGCAGCGGGTGAACTGGGAGGGCTGTAATTCTGGATTTTTCTCCTCCTCTTCACACTTCTCCCAGATGGGGTCCCTAAGAATCAGCCCCATAGAGTCATTGAATCAGGCCTGCCTCAGAGACTGCTACTCTCCATCCCACAGAGGCTGTGCCCTGCATGGATTATAATCTAACTCTTCTCCTGGCTGGGCTTCCAGGGCTTTCTCTCTCTCTTTATACCATAATGTTTTGTTTTCTAACATTTGCTTTAGTATCCAGCCTTTTTCTCTTAATAAAAGAACTATGTGATATGTGAAAATAGCATAGGCTAGAGTTTAGGTCTTGGCTTATTGGTGTATAACTCTGGGCAAATTACTTGATTTATCTCTAGCCCTGTTTCCTCATTTGTAAAGTGGATTAATAGTACCTACTTCACAGGATTCTTTCAAAGAGACTTCATCTCTCTGCAGGAAAACATCTTTATGTTTTTTATTTGTTCTCATACAGCAGCCCTCTTTGTCATCTCTGTATGTTAGTTTGCTATTAGATTATTACAACAGCCTTCTAACTGGTCTTTCTGCCTCCATTTCACCACTCCCTTCAATTTGTTCTCCATACAGCTACCAGAATTTGCTTCAAAAATTTCGATCTGATAATGTTCAGAATATTCGCAAATGTGTCCATTTATTTTGATCTTGACCACTGTTACATTAGATAAAACCACCATTACCTTTTGCCTGGATTAAGGCAAATTTTTAACTGATGACCCAGCTTCTACTTTTACCCATTTATAATGTCACAGAAAACATATCTTTTAAAAATGTAAATCATATCATGTCACTCTTCTGCTTAAAATCTTTTAATGGGTTTTAAGGATTTTAATGGGTTTTAAGGATTAATTTAAAAAGAATCAATGAGAACAAAATCCAAACTCTATAACAGGGCTTACAGAACTCTATATGATTTAGTTCCTCCCTACCTCATCATTTCATCTCCTACAGGTCTCGCATCGGTTTGCTACCCTTCACACGTGGCTCTTTCTGTGCCACAGTTTTGCAAAACACCCTGTCTTTGCACTTCACCTTGCTCTGGATTGCTCTGACTCCAGATTGTCATGTGACTTATTCCTTCTTGCCGATTTAGGTCTCAGCTCACCTGTTACCTTGCTGAGGCTTTCTCTGACAACTCAGCCTAAATTAGCACTGCCCCCCACAAACTTCCCACTTAGTCTCTATCATATAACCTTGTTTCTTTATTTCTTGTTTGTCACTCTATCTTTTCCCCCCACTAAAATGTAAGCCCCAACAATGCTGGAACCTTTTCTATTTTATTCTTTACCCTATCCCCAGTGCCTGGCACATAGTCGCATTCGACAATTGTTTATTGAACAAATGAATCGTGTCTCCTTCCTGAATATAACCCATAAATGGCTAGCTATTACTAAAATTATATATCATTTTATATATTAGTCATTTATTCAACAAATAGTTGATACTGTGTGCCAGGCTCTGTGTTAGGCCCTATGACTACACAGAAGAATCATCTTCAAAGAGCTCTCATTTCAGTGGGAGAGGCAGAAAAACAGATGGTTATTTTTCTGTAATGTGCACAGGCTGGTTTGAGAATATCAAGGAGGATCATCTAACCCAGACTGGGAGTGTCAGAGAGTACTTCCTGGACAAGGCAATGTTTAGACTGCATCTTGGACTATAAGTAGGAGGCAAAGGGGACAAACAGGCATCCCGGGCACATGCTTGGGCAGAGATAAGAGATATGCTGCTTTGGGGGAAATTCTAAGTGGAACAGAATGCTTTTAGCACAGAGAGCCTGGTGTGAGTGATAACTGAGAGATGGCCTTGTGGCCTTTCTAAGGAGCTCGAACTTCATCTTGTAGTTATGGAGGCATTTAAGGATTTTAAATAGAAAATTGTCAAAATAGACTTTGTATTTTGGGATGATCACTCTAACTGCAGTTTGTAGGAAAGGATTTGTGAGGGTGGACTAGAAAGAGAGAAATCTATTAGGACGGTGTTATGGTCCTCCATGTGCAAAGTGATATGGATCTCAAGACAGGGTTGTGGCAATGGGAGTAGAGGAAAATAGATGGATTCAAGCGATACTGAAGAGGTTGGAATGAAAGACTTTCTGATTGGACCTGGAGGGTGTACAGATGTCCAGGATGATTTCCATGTTTCAATCCTGGAAAGCTGAGCTGATGGTAGGTGGGAGGACAATAAGAGAAGGTGTAGGTTTTGGTAGAGGAAATGGTGACTTCAGTTTTGCCATCCTTTAATTCATTCAAGGTTCCCCTATACTATACTATGGAAATCTGTGCAATTATTAAAAGGAATGAGTCATATTTTTGTAATGATCTCCAAGATATATTTTTAAGTAAATTAAGTTCATAATCTATATGTATATATAATATATATACACACACAGCATATAATATAGTGATCCAATTTATATTGAAAATTAAACATTATATATTGACATATAAATGCATAGAAAACTGAAAGAATACATTAAAACTATCAATAGTGTTTTTCTCATTACTCATTCATTCAACAGTTTTTTACTGAGCATCTGCTGTGTTCCAGGCATTGTGGCAGGTGAGAATATGTTGGTGAGTAAACACAGATGCTGACTTTGCTCTCATGGATCATGTATCGTCAAGATCACCCTTTTTCAACTGGAATTCTGAGAGAATATTATCAATTAAATAACCACATAAATTATAAATGTAAAATTGTAACTCTGCTAAGTACTTAAGATTGAGAAGTACATGGTACAACAAAGATGTATAGTAGTGCTATTGGATGGTCAGGGGAGGGTTCCTTGAGGAAGTGACATTTGAGTTGAGATCTGAAGGGTAAGTAGAAGCTAAGTAAAGACAGGCTGGGTAAATAGCATGTGCAAAGACCCAAAGGCAAAAAGGAATGTGGCAGGCAGGAGGGAACCAAAGAAGGCCAATACCAGCGCAGAGAGAGCGAAAGGCAGCAAAGTATAAGATGAGGCTGAAGGCATAGGTAGGGGCTGAGTCTTTTAAAAATTTATAAGGCCATGATAGAGTTCTTTTCTATATCCTACAATCAGTGGAGAGCTATTGAAGATTTTAAAGCAGGGAATGTTATGTTCATTTTTGTACTTTAAAAAGATCATTCCAGCTCTTGTGTGTGGAGAATGATTCAAAGGATTCAAGAGGTGATCAGTTAATAAGTTTTCTCCTGGTCCAAGTGAGAGATATTGATGGCCCATACTAGGATAATGGTGAACAAAAGTGAACAGATTTTAGAGATATATAATAGATAAAATCAACAAGACTTGGTTATAGATTGGATATGGTGGGGGTGACAGATAAGTGAATGTTTGGTGGAAATTCTTGAAGACCCAGTGAAGTTTTGATTGGATTTAATAAATAGTAGATGTTTGAGTAGGGGAAGGCCATGCAAAGTTTAACAAAGGTCACTCTGTCAGCAGCATGGGGAATACATTGGAGGTGAATATGAGCTTTTGCTATGGTCCAGGTGACATGATTAAAGCTGAACTAAACCAAAGCATTCCCAGGGGGAATGGAGAGAGGTTGAGAAGATAAAACTGGAGGATAAGAGTATGGAGGCCATTTTGTTTTGGGACAGGGAGGGGACAAAAGAGGACCAAGAACAATCTTTCCCTTCTTTCTGCAAGATTGTGCCTCTTTCCCATGGCATCAAGCCCAATCAGCAGTTCAACGCTCACCTGTCTCTCGGGCAGCACTGTGGCCTGCTGTGATAGAAGAACCCTTGGGAGCTAGCATGGTCCTGTTGCTGCCACTGACAGGTGACATTCTTCAAGTCCAGAGTAAAGCATTGCAGTCCAATTTCCACTGAAATCAGAGAAGGAAGTCCCATCAGGAACCACATGCTCCTACTCTATAGGATATTCAGATCATCTTTATACACATAACTTGGAACATTTATTCCTATTCTTTGTTCTCTCTCTGAATATAGTTCACTGTGTCCAGTGCCATGTTTGAGGTCATCAAGAAGGTCCATGGTTATCAGAGCTTTCATGTCTAGCCCAGTCTTCCCCAGAGATCTATTTCCTCCCTATCTCCCCATTCCTTTATTGACTCACCTGCATCCCCAGGCAGGTCCATGGTTGCAGGGAGGGACCAGGGTCCCCAGGAGCCTTGGAGGGAGACCCCATCAGGTTGGCTGCGCAGCTGGAGCCAGTAGGAGTTCCCAGGTTGGAGCCCTGAGATGAGGCAGCTTCCACCCATCACTGTTAGAGATGGAACCTTGGGAGAAGAATCCCAGCCTGAGAATCTAGGTCTGCCTCTCAGCCAAGACAGCCTCCATATCTTATATTTGAGGCTCTATAGCATGCCTGTGGAGAGACGCTTGGTTCCTTACTGGATAGATATGCACAGAGACTAGGGGCCAGTCTGTGGGTTTCAGGTAGTGTTCAGGGGTTTTTAGAGAAATCTCTATAAATTTGGAGGCCTGAAGCTCTCAATTTTGTTGGTATGAATGACCTAAAGTGGGAGGTCCCACTTTAGGTCATTCATACCATGACATGAAAACTAATCGGAGCTTGTACTAACTCCCCAAGGACCAACCCCATCTGGAATCCCCAAAGTATGGCCTGTCTTTTCTTAGGGCAAAATTAGGAGCAAGAGATAGGAGATGGAGCAGAAGAAGGGCACGATACTTCTCTAGTTGGGGAAGTCTGCTCTGGTCCATCCTTTTGGGGCATCAAAGGTTGAGAACATGCAGATTGGTCCAGAGCTGTGGCTGGGTTTGGCCTCCGCAGAGCTGGGCAGCAGGTTTCTGTGGACAGCAGCTGCATGACTGTGGGACCAGTAGAATTCCTGGGATCCTTGGGGCCATAGCGGAGTTCGTGCCTCAAGAAATCACTGATTTCGGGAGCTGGGGCCTCCCAGCTGATCTGAAGTTCCCCTGGCCGGCTCCCACCAGTGGCTTTGATGATACTGGGGGGAGCTGGCAGGCCTGAGGGCAAGACAGGGCACATCGGAACTCTCTGAGTGCCACAGTCTACAGTTCAACCCGTGGAACGAAGAGAGGGGTGTTGGAGGGCTGGATTGGCTCTCTTGGAGGGCCGGACAGGGAGGCTTCTTATCCTGCTCTTTCCTCATGACAACAGTGACCTCATTGCTAGTTAGACTCAGTGCTCCTCAAGAGCAGGGGTCTCTTTTCATCTCTGTATTCTTGTCACCTAGCACAGTGTCTGTCACATAGTAGGTATTCTGTAACTGTTGAATAAGCACGTAAATGAATAGGTTAATGATGGGAAGACCTGGGTACCTCTGATGTGAAATGAAGTCTAGCTCTGGATGCCAAGGCTGGGAGAGATGATAAGGGGGTCTTGAGATGCCTCTGGGGGTCTAGTAATGGAGAGTACACATGTGGTCCTGAAAGAGCACGGTCTAATCTAACTCTGGGATCTGGCCTTGGGGCAACGAATAGAGGAGCCAGGGTGACAGGAAGATGGCCCTTACCCACTCTATCCACAAATAGCACCCGCTGGGTCAGATTCTGGTTCAGGAACACATGCTTCACCCAGAGGTGCAGCGGAAAGAAGAGGCGAACTTCATCTTGGGCTGGAAACTGGCACACGTATCGGGTTCCAAAGGGGGGCACACTCTGGGAACTCAGGGGGCAGGCACGGGGCTCCTCCCTGTGGGCATAGGAGAAGTCCATCCTACCTACACAGCCACCATGCTCAGCCCTCAGGACCCAGGCTGGGCCCAAGCCCTGCTTCTATTTCCATTACTGCCCTTTTCTTCTCAGTGCCTGGGATAGGTGGGATAAAGGGTCATGTAGGGCCTTAACCTGGGTCTGTCCAAATCATACCCATTCACTAAGTGGCTACTTAGGGCGTAAGCTTGGAACAATTCTCTGGTAGGGCCAAAGGCAGGGAAGCTACTGGAGTGGGGCTCATCTGAGGTAAGGACAGGACAGATACAGGGGAGCGGGGCACAGCACGACACATACCCTGGGTAGGCATACAGCAGCTGGTATATTCCACTGGGTGCTGTCTCTTCCTCATCCCAGAAGCAAGTGAGGTCCTCAAATGTTCGAGAAAAACAATTCAGGGGCTCCGAGTCCGAGGCCAGTAAGGAAGCATCTGAGGAACAGCTGTTCAGTTGGGCTCTGTGTCCTTCCAGGCATGTTTATGGGCAAGAGTAGGGGACCAGTGGGAGCCTCCTACCTGATACCCCGCCCAGGGATCCCTTTTCTTAGGTATAGGTGATTTCCATCCCCCCCACACCTCACCTTGGTTGGTGACTTGTGCTGGGTTTTGGGGGGCCAGGAAGAGGCAGGAGGTGATCATCAAGAGGGCCCAGGAGGGCATCTTCTCCGGCACTGTGTGCCTGCCTTAGCCCATCCTCCCTTCAGGAAGCCGGGCCCCAAAACCCTCCCGGGCCAGCCCCTCAGGTTCCTGTCAGATACAGTCCCACGTCCTGTCTCTGTCCCTGCCCCTATGGGGCCCATCCAGACCACACTGGAGCCAGGGGCCAGGGGAGGGGGAGTGGGTCAGAACAGGAGGGTAGGAGGAATTTGAAAGAGAGGATACAGATCTTTTGGTGGGAGGGAGGTGGGGGTTATATTTTCGACCATGTACTAAAAGGAGACCAAGCCTCTATGTGTGTCTATGTTAATGATCGTGGAAGGGTATATTATCAAAAAGAATAGCAGCATTTACTGAGCACTTACACGCTGCTGTTTGTTAAGTGCTTTATATCTATTGATTCGGCCAATCCTCACAATAATAGTCTTATTATTCCCATGATAGAGATGAGGAAACTGAAATGCAGAAAAGTTAAAGATTTGCCCCAGATCACACACCTACTAAGAAGTAAAGCTTAGGCATGATCATATGATACTCTTGGAAGGGGTGATCTGATGAGAAATGACCACCTGTGTTACAACTGTGACAAAATGGTGGCTATTTCCACTTTAAGGTTCTGTGACTTTGTACGGATGAACACATCCTTCCCGAGACTGGACGTGGCCCCTCCATTGTGGGTAGCCCCACCGCTGCCTCTAATTCTTTGCTACTCAGAGTGTGGTTCTGTAGAGCAGCAGCAAAAGCATTACCTGGGAACTTGTTAGAAATGCAGTATCTTAGGCCCCGCCCCAGATGTACTAAAACACAATCTGCATTTTACTGAAATCCCCAGATGATTTGAATACACATTAAAGTTAACACTGGTCTTTAGTACTTTTATCTGGTTGGCTCAAAATCGGGGGATGGATGGTCTCAGCTCTTCAGCTTGTGCTCATCTGCTTCACATTAGTTGTAGAATAGTGGGTATGACTCCTTGCCCGAAGCCCAGGCCTCTTCCTGGGAATGTTATAACTGTGGGTGGCTTTTATGCCAACTCTCAGGAGCTCTGACTCCTACAGGTTGGGGAGGAGGGAGTGCATGCCACATAAACTCCCACATTTAGTCCCACTCTGACCTCAGCTGGAGCTTCCATTGCTGGCTCTACAGACTGAGTGTCCTCGATATCATCTTTCTCTCTTCCTCCTAAATTAATGTTACTAACAGAGAGAATTATGGAACGGGAGAGGGGAGAGAAAATGGAAATCCTTCAGTCCTCCTGTGGGGTCTTAGTTTTTTTGGCACCATTTCTCTGCAAGAAGTCCCTGAGCCAGGTTTGTCCTAATTCCTGTCCAGCTCTCAGTTTATAAGGACCAGAGTCCTCTGTCCAACAGGGATGATTTGGGGTGCCTCTCCCAGTCCCCAACCAAGGGCTACTCATTCTCTATCGGGTCAAGAGAGAGGGGTAACATGGCTTTAATGTTCATACAGGCCTGTGGTTTGATGCTATGTATATGCTGATGACTTCAAAATTAAAATCTCCAACTTAGCCTCGGGCTCCAGATTTGGATAGCTAACTGCTTACTTGGCATTTCCACTTGCATGTCTAATGAGCATCTTATACTCAAGAGGGCCAAAATAAACTCTTGATTCTGGTTTCCACCCCAAAGCCTGTTTATGTTTTTCTTCTCTAGTCTTACCCATCTCTGTAAATGGCACCACCACCTACTCAGTCGATCAAATCAAAACTCTCTGTATTCCTTGATTCCTATTTTTCTCTTATCCTATATTCAATCAGATATCTTTTCAAAGTGTACTCTGAATCTGAACACTTTACAACCTCCGCTCCAACCATCCTAGTCCAAGTCTGGGTTATTGCAATAGCTTCCTAGCTGCCTCTGCTCTTACCCTCTTTAGTCCATCCTCCATGTAACAGATATGTTTAAAGTACAAATCAGATTTCTTCACTTGCCTACTTAAAATCCTCTAATGATTTCCTACTGCACTTAGAATAAAATCCTAATGGCACACAAGGTCCTGCCTGACCTGGGCCCTGCCTACTTAAATCTCATCTCCTACTACTTACTGTCTTCTTCACTCTGGACCAGCCACAATAACTTCATTGTGTCTCTCATCTTAATCCTTATCATATTCAACCTTTCTGCAACATTCGATGTTCTTCACCTTCCTTGAGTTCTACAATGTGTCACATCCTCCCGGTTTTTTTTTCTACTCCTATAACATTCCCTCCCAGTTTCTTTCTTTCTTTGCTCTTTCTCTTAAACGTTGCTGTTCTCTAGCAACATTTATATTGCCCGAGGGATCTCATGGTTTCAATTCCATCTGTACAGCAGTAACTCCCAAGTCTTTTGTCACTCCCTCGAACTTAAAATTCTCTGTTACTTCTTGGATATCTCTATTTGTTGTTCCATAGGCACTTCAACTCACCAAGTCCCAAATAGAACTATTACTAACTCCCACACACGCTTTCAGATCTTTTCTTCCTATGTTCTCACCATAGGCTACCTGGGCATTGAAGCCTGAAGCCTGACAGTTATCATCAAATCTTCATTCTCCCTCCACTCCTGTATCCATGTCTTACCAAGTCCTATGACTTCTATAGGCAACCAGTATAATAGTGGTTAAGGGTGCAGAGCTAATCAGACAAGAAGCTTGTCTATGACTGCCAGAGAATTGAGATGAGGGCTTTCTGCTCCTGCACGGAAGGAGGTCCAGCCACCTGTCCCTATCATTTTTCCATTTTTCTCTGCTTCCACAAAGCTGGAAGGGTGCCTTGCCCAGTTCTTTACTTCTTTAGAATATCAAGCAGGAACTGGAATCAGCCTAGGGAGAAGGAGACCACTTAGGTCTGCCTACGCTTTGTCCACAGTCCAGTAGGCTCCTTAAGGTCCAGCCCAGGTCAGCAGGTCCAGATTTTTCTATTGGGATAAAAAGTCGACCCTCTGGCTTATGATAGCCCGCTTTTGATCTCTGTGCAGCCACTGCTGAGAGAACTCAAGGGGTTGCTGGATGAGGATGGGTTCAGGCAGTAGCTGCTGTTAAACTGCTCTCTGGGGGTGGAGTGGAGAGTGGGGGGTGGGGAGAAGAAGAGTCTTGTTTTGTACCATTTGCTGCCTTTCGTGCTGTAAATATCCCACCATGGCCAATTTCAAGCTACTAACATGATATCACTGAACAGTGACTGGGAAGGGAATCGAGTCTCTCATGAGCCTGTAACTGTCTTCCCATTTTCCCAGATTTCTAACACTTGCATTTTTATCCAGTCAGAAAGTCTGAGATAGGTAGCTACAGACACTTGGAGTCCCATCTCACTATCTCTTTCCCAACATTGCCAAAATTCTCTCCAAAATGATTGTTCCATTTACAGCTCTAGCAATGTGTTAGAACACTATATTTTCCACACAGCTTTGCCAATGTTGTTTTAAGTTTGCCATTTGATAGCTGACAAATGGTATCTCCTTATTCAGTGCTTTTTCTGAAGTTCAAATTTGTTTTTATTTTTTTCCAGGCTTAAAATCCTTTCATGGGTCTACATGATCCTTTGAACCTAGACCCACCTCTAAATGCTGGAACATGAGCCCTTATACTTTTCAGCTTCTCATCCTTGGAGTCTCTCCCTCATGATGTTCCCTTCAACATTTCCCAAACCCAACCTCCATCCTGCCACAGGGCCTAGTTTTGTTGTTCTCTCAGACGCAGAACCCTCCAAACTCTTAGCCTGCTGGAACTTTCTTTGTCATTCAAGATCTGTTCTCAAGTCACTACTCTTGGGGAGTCTTTTCTTATCTCCCAATTATATGTAATGGGGGCAGAAGGCTAATTTAAAAAGAGAAATGCAACTTTACATTCCTCTCAGTAGCTCTTTTGTGATCAGAAACAACTTGGTGAGCCTTCAGGTATGGCCTTGATAGGACGGTGTCAGAGAGCTAAGTTTGCTGAATAGGAAGTTGGTGAGAATTTTGGCATGTTCTGTACTAACTCCAGAGAAAAAGGAGAAGGGCTAGTAAGTGAAAGATAGCAACCTGAGGAGAAGAAAGTTCTACCAGTAAGAAAATCCAGTAGAAGGACTGTCTGAGGAAAATTTTAGAAAGGTGATGCCTAATCCTCAGTTTTAAATTTACACACTATTCTGCTTAACTTCCCTCTAGTGCTACCCAGACATTCAGTAAAAGTGTCCTATACACAAAACCTGATATTCGTGGTGGTTTGGAACAAAGGGAGAAATACCTTTTCTAATACCTGTGGATTAAAGAGAGGAGTGCAACAATGGGAAGTGAGTAACCCAGTGGTCAAGAATTTAGCAAGAGCAAAGTTTCAGATTGAGAGGTGATCACGAGGATGTAAATCCTTGCAGAGTCCTAGTGAAAACAGAGGAGGGCATGGATTTCCCTGAGTATGTGGAATAGGGACTGAGCTGTTCTAATTGGATAAAATGGAAAAGAAGACCCCAAAGGGCTACCTTGAGGACGTTTGGGTTGAATACAGGCAGTCCATCCTTCCTCTGAATATCCCCAAATTTTATGCCTTTATTGGGGTGCTTTCGTATATAAACAGCCATGCTATACCTCCACTTTAGCTAGACAAAATGTGATCCCTGCCAAGTGGGGGCTGTCATCTTAACTCACTCCTCCTGGGGTAAAAGTTGGGTGTGAGTGGGCCTATCTCTTCCTCCCTGATTCCCTAGTCTACCTTTATTCTATCAACTATCTTTAATGAACATTTGCTATTTGCCAGCACTGTGCTAATTTGTCTAATTTCATCATACAGTGGCTTTATTGGGTGCTCTTTTTCCTTACTTTGTAGAAGAGAAAATAGAGGCCAAGATACATCAAATGAGTTGTCTAAAATTGTTATTAAGGAGCAGAGCTGAGATTTGAATTCAGGTCTGTTTGACTCCCAAGTCTGTTCTTTCCACCACTATGTGTACACCTCTGACTAGGACCTCTGACTCTTCTGTTTTATTCATTTATTCAACATTATGTGCCTGGCACAGGGCCTGGCATGAGTCTCTCCCACAGTACGAGGCTGAGTTCAAAACAGGCATCAGGAGAGAGGCTTAGTTCAGGTAAAGGGGAAAAATGCCAGTAGGTGCCCAGCAGTGACTCCAAGTGAGAGAGCTGCAGGGGACCTAATTCGGTCAGCCCTCTATCTTCCATCCTCTGAGAGACATCTTGGTTCTTGAGCTGCCTTTGCTGAGCTGCTGGACTTTCTCTGACCCTGGAATCCATG